ACTAATGAAGCTATGCAAATATATCAGTAAATGATCATAACAGTTATATTTATAACTCGAGTCCCCATTGCAGGAAACTGCTGCCCTTTCGGATCTTTCAGATAACAATGGTTTCTGCAACGAGAAGTTGTTTCAGATGAAAAAAAATGTATTTTCATATAAATACAAGTAAAACCTAATTCACTGTTACTGATTCATCCTATGATCAAAGCACGCTAGAAGCGTTCATGAGCGACAGCGTGAATTGTACACCCCTACTATAAATATGCTCAGAGTGAATAAAATACTGAATCACATTCTCATTCGTCTCATTTTACTTTCAATAATATAAATTCTATTATTTTTCATTTATTTAGTCACAGATAAGTAGTAGTTTTTCCACAGTATGCCTTGTTTCTTTGACATGGACATTTAATTTGTTCTTTGTCGAGACTATCATTCGTTTTATAAAATTATGCACATAATAAGTACACAAAATGTATCCACTTTCTAAAATACAACAATTAATCTAATCAAACTATTTGACAAAAAAGAGTTTCGTTGGAAAAAATTAATTGATTTCAACATATTTTTCAGTTATTCATTTCTGATATTCACTTGAGAACAATTGTTCATACGTTATCATCACATGTGAACTCGCTCTCATCCAGATACATGTGCTTGGTAACAGAGAATGATTAATATTCTTCACATCTGTATTTATATTTACTCAGTTGTACAAATATGATCTATCGCTTAAGAATCATGGCTTTTTCTCAACAAGCAATATACAATATGACTTCGATATATTACTGCAATTTATATATTATTTGATGAGTGATAATATATTAAGAAATGTGCCTGATTAAGGAGTTTGATTATATATAAAGTTTTTATGATTCATTTCACAAAAGAAAATGTCATTCTGTCTATATTGATTAATAAAACTCAGGAGTATTGATTTTAACACCGTTGTATCCACCAGTAACTAACACTTTTCCATTTACTAATGTCGATGCTGCGTGATTTACTCGTGCAAGATTCATGTTTGCTGTAGTTGTCCAACTGCCTGTTGATGGATTGTACAATTCAACACTATTGAGATAAACACCACCGCTACCCTGTCCACCAGCAACTAATACTGATCCGTTAGCTAATGTGGATGCTGTGTGATAATTTCGTGCGGCATTCATGCTTCCTGTTGTTGTCCAAGTACCTGTTGATGGGTCGTACAATTCAGCAGTATTGAGATAACTACTACTACTGTTGCCTCCACCAGCAACTAACACTTTTCCATTTGCTAATAGGGATGCTGTGTGAATATATCGTGCGGTATTCATGCTTCCTGTGGTTGTCCAAGTGCCTGTTGATGGATTGTACA